TTGCACAGTTAGTAAAGGCAGACTTAAAATTTGAACCCAGAACTATCTTACTTCAAAGCCCATACTCTGTACTGCTAGAACCTCCCTATTATCATCAGTCATTATGATAGAAGCAAAGCACAAGAGGGGAGAGGCTTTGGAGCCTACTATCTAAAAGGGCAGTTGCACCAGTAAACTGGCTCCTTTGATTCTGCTTAATCTTTACAAACACTCCTCCCTGAACCTAGCAAGGCTCTGCAGATAAGCGTTGATAACAATGTAGGGTAGGGAAAGAATGTCAGTGAGAATAATAATATGCCACAGGAGAGTGGGGTGTTGATATAATTTTTCAGTAATTTAATTAATATTAATAGAGTTTTTCTCATGTAAATGCTCTTTGCTAGTTCACATAAGGGATGATAGAATTAGCATATAGATAATAGTTCTCAAGGCACATTCATATGATAACTATTTGATTTCCACATCCATTCTGTGACACAGGCCTTCTTATCTTCCAGTTCTAGATGCAGAACTGAGGATCATAGAGATTATGTGGGCTAACCAAGATTTCATGGTTGATTGGTATCAGAGTCTAGCTTCAAATTCAACACAGTCTTCTGTCTCCACTCTGTCTCCACTTCACTGTATTTTATGGAATCTGACATGTACTTAAATAAATATGAAACAAAGTAAAAGTGTGAAGTCTATAAGAGATACAAAGTGCAATGAGCACATATAGGTGGAGGGATTGGGAATGTTTCTTGGAGGCTACTGTTAAATTTAATGTTCTCAAATTCAACTTCAACTGAATTCTAGAGCACACAAATCAAAGTAAGAAAAACTCAATGTGAATATATCATACGTTTAGATATATTCAAAAGAGAAACCTGTAGTCCAGAAAGGTTGAAGAGAGATACGGACACATTTTACCTGTCGTTATAATAATCTTTCAGTAAATACAAGATTCTCAAGGCCAAAAACCATGCCTAGTCACCTTTATGTTGAATGTGATCTAGTGCTTTGCCCAGAGTCGATGCTGGATAAATGCTTGTTGAATTTCATTGAAAATTCTTTCAACCTAAATAAACAAGATGAGGAAGAGCAAGAAAAAAAAAAAGACCATTGCTCTGATTTGTCCCTTGATTCAAGGGTGACACTTTAGTAGGGATGGCATTACTCTGACCCTAACTTGAAAGGATTTGGGGAATGGAGGTGGGGGGAAGGTATCAAAACAATGAGAAGCTTTTACTTTCAGAGAGACTGTGAAACAACTTGGGGTCATAGTAGGAGGCTGTTATTAACAGGGAAACACCCTGAGGACAAAGAAGAAGGATCTGTTTTCAGAGAGGCAGACACTCTAATAGGGTGTTCTTTGTGACACCTTCAGAATGATCCTTTGAAAAACTGGAAATCTCTGTGGACTATCACTGTCAAAAAGAAATGCTCCTGCCTCCTTAAGATAGTGACTTTGTTCAAAACGAAAACAAAACCCAATGATTCTTTGGTCCTGCTTGCCCAACTGCACAGCTGTCCCTCTACTTTTTATATCCACATCTAGGGTCTCATCCATCCGTAGGGCATCAGCTATACCCACAACACTCCTCTCTGTTTGAAAAGTATTTCTCTCCTTTCATCTGGAAATTCTAAAACGTCAGCTAGACTTCCTTCCTTATCGCCTTCCTCCATTTCTGTCTTAAGGTAAATTAATAAATTCACTCATCCATTCATCTGCTAGGATTGATTGAGAATCCAAGTGCAGAGGATGCAATATTGAACAGGACAGCTCAAAGAAGTAAATAAAATTTAGAGATTCTATGACCTAAGCAGCCCAGTTTTCCTCCATTGTCCCATTTCTAGAGGCTAGAAGCCTTGTACCTTGTAACTTTGCCTATAGAAATCTTTGGTGTATCCCATCAGAAGCAAAGAAATACTAAACCAGGGAGCTCTGCAGCAAGACCGCTTAAGTAGATTTATCTTAAGTAGAAGTGTGTATACATATCCTATCATCCACTTTCAGCTGGTTGCACTAATAGCAACTGGTACAGAGCTTTTGCTGTGTACTGGGCTGTGTTGTACATGTATCAACTTATTTAATCCTCACTCCAGTCTTATTATTATCCTCATTTGGTAGATGGAAAAAATCACAGGGCAAAGGACTTAAGTAAGTAAAGACCTTATGTTATTTCAAAAGTAGGAGGAACTAGAATAAGTAAACTTTGAATCAACCAGGTAAAGAACAGGAGGAGATAAGGTAGCTGAGAGGTAGAGCTCTTAACATGCAGAAGGTCTGGATTAGATCCACAGCATTACAGGAAGGAGGGTCTGGGGAAGGAAAGAAGGAAGGAAAAAAGAAAGGCCAAGCTAGGACTCGGAGGTAGGGAATGCTTAGCTAACTGGTGACAATAAGGGGTGTAGTTGAGTGACGTGTAGCAGCACCTCATAAACCAATGTGAGATAGCAGAGCCTGTGCCGAGCATCTCCCAGTCTATCTTCTAAACACAGTGTGGCTTTCATCCTAAGAGCTGACAGGTTTTTATAAGGGTTACCTCATCAACCTTCACAGCCGTTCCAGCAAGGCCTGTGCGCTAGGATGCCAGAGTGTGTGGCTGGAACGAATGAAACACAAAGAGGCCACATAACTTCCCAGAGTCACTCTATGAGTCAACGTCTGCACTGGATGGAGAAATGTGGCCCTCAGGTTCCCAGGAACAGCACAGGAATTTTCCCAGGTCCCTAAGATATTTTTCCTTTATTTATTCCTTGCTCAAACCAAGCTCCCTTAGCTTCCAGTAATGGACAAAGCTTCCATCATTTTTAAATACCATTGAAAGCAGATAAGACGATTGGGAGAGAACAGAATGGACACCAGTGCTGTTCTTTATTTCTGACATGTGATTTGAGAGAAATCATGCCACTTTTCTGCCCTCAGATTTCCACTGCTAGGTAGAACCAAGCAATTTCTAAGGCACCTCCAATGCCAACAGTCTATGACAAGAAGGTGGCTTCTATATATTTTATTACATTAAAACTGAAGGTTAAATCAGTCAGACGCCTAGCATTTAAGATTTAAATCCTTTTTGAGCTGGAGTTACATTTTTTTAAATTTCCAGAAAGCCTCATGATGGGATCATGCAGAAAGGCCAGGGGAAGTTGCAGAACAGGAAGAAGGATCCTCCAGTGAAGGCAGAGACCAAAGCAAAAAGAGAAGGACTCTAGACAGAAGGGACAGATACAGCTATTTGTCAGTAAATACAGAAGTCCTACTGCATTGAGTCAACGCGTCAACAAAATAGAAGTCAAGAAGGTCAACATAGTTCTAGACTGTCTCCTAGTCAACCAAGAAGATTTTGTTCATTTTATCAACTTAATGGAAACAACTCAAATGTCCACCAATAGAAGAGGACTGACCAAATAAATGAGGTAGTATGTAGGGATCCATTACATCATCCAGAAACATCTCAAGATATCAAAGGGTCAAGTAAAAAGAATTTCTTATGGTGTTAAAAAACAAATATTCATGAGAAATCTTGGATATTCTCAGAAAGATACACAAGAAACTAGAGTAGATGAGAGACACCCCATACACAAACACACACACACCCACACGCGTGTGCACACGTATGTGTGTGTGTGTGTGTGTGTGTGTGTGTGTGTGTGTATATATATATATATGCTTTGGTAATTTTTGGTTAATTTGATATAAATTGCATCTTATTCAAAATATAAAGCAATTTTCTTTTTTGAAGGGGAGGTTACTGGGATATGAACCCAGAAGTGTTTTACCACTAAAACACATCCCTAGCCCTTTTTATTTTTTATTCTGAGACAGGGTCTCACTAAGTTGCTGAGACTGGTCTTAAACTTGCAATACTCCTACCTCAGCCTCCTAAGTTGCTGGGATTATAGGCATGTGCCACTGCACCTGGCCCCACTTTTTTCCTCCTTTGGTGGACTAGGGATTTGATCCAGAATCACACTACTAGTAGGCAAAGCGCTCTACCACTGAGCCACATTCTCAGCTAATAATTTTTTAAACTGACACTTTCCCTCTCTCTCCTGGCAACGTAGCTTCTGCTCCTACCACACGACTAAAACTATTTTCTCAAAGTCATTACACAGCTCCTTGTTACTCTTTGAGCCCTTGTTCCTTTGGCCTCCATGGCATGTAGTCTTTATGAGTGTCGCTTTGTTCTGAACACAGTCTTCCTTCTCAAGTTCCAGGACCCCCGTCTGTACCTGGTTCTCTCTCACTTTTCCAGTCCCCTCTCTGCTGCCCTTCCAACCTCCTTTGTTTGCTGGCCTTCCCCAGGTGACATTCAGTCCTTGCTTTCCTGCCTCCCTCGCTATCACAGTGACTTTTATGGCTTCAGCTCTTGTCCCTAGGCAGGCAGTTCCCTCATCTGTGTCTCAGCCCTTAAACCATCTTCTGGTACAGTCCTAGCATCTCTAGTTCTGTTGTAGGGACAAATGAGGCAAGACACCGAAGATAGCAGGAAACAGTTTTATTTGGCTGCAGCCAGGTTCAGAGGGTACAGCCTTCGCTGTAATCAATCAATCCCCTGAACCCAGCGTGTAAGGGGAGGGGCTCAGAAGATCACAGTCTGCAGAAGTTCACATAAAAGCAGCTTTTTCTTTCACTGTTCTGGGCAAGTTAACTCTTCAAGGACAACATCTGAGAAGGAAAGAACTTCATCTCCTCTTTCTTTCCTTCTCCTGCCTGCTGTTACCATGGGCCCATTTGTAACTTATCTTAAAAATGTAGACATCTCTGTGAAGCCCAGCTCAAGGCCAGAGGCCTTGTTTGCACATTTCTTCAGTACTATACTGGATACGTTTGTGAAAAACTAGTAAGGGGGTGTCCGGCACCTGGAGTGCTGGTATCTTCTCGGCCAGTAGCCAAGTAAACAGGGTGACATGAAAATAGGAAGTTTATCTACATTGGACTCTTTTGCAGAGACTCTTTTGCTGACAGTCCTAAAATCAGCCATGGTTAAGAGGGCTTTTCTGTGGAGAAAGGGGTGCCACTTCAGTTCAACCAGATTAAAACAAAACAAAACAAAACAAAAATCCTCATCAGATTTCTCTCTGGTCCAGTCTCCACAATGCTGCTAATGATACCGTTCTCTGCTTAAAATATGTCCTCCTGGAAACCTCCCTCTCTCATCCCACCCTGTCCAAGAAATTCAGTTATCTCTCCCTTCCAATTACTCTTTTCCATTCCCTAAAATGTCTCATTTCTTCTCACTCACTGCTGCTCATTCTCTTCCTTTTGGATTTATAAGTTACCAGAATTTGGATGATCCAATATCTTCAGTCAGAAAACTTTAGTGATTTCATGTTATGTGTCTGATATTGTCCCAGGTCTTTCATATATTGCATTTTATTTCACTTAATCACAAAATAGCGTGTAACGTAGAGATTAACCTCATTTTATAGGTTGCAAATGAAGGCTCAGAGAGATTAAGGGCATTCCTCAAAGCTTCATGAGAATGAGCAGAGCTGATGCTCAGATTTATGGTTCCTGATTTCTAATTCAGGAATTCCTCCATTCCCCTACCCTGCTTGCTTACCAGATACAATCCGAACATTGGCCTTGACTTTCAAGATCCTCAACAAAATGGCCTTTCCATTTGTGTTTCTCTGCTACTGTCCTATACATAGCAAGCTGAGCTATTCTCAGGACCTTGAACACACTTAATCCTCTGCAGGGATTATTGGTTTGGCTAATTTTATTAATCTCCCTCTGTAAAGCCCTTTGAGAGCCCGACATAAGCTACAGAAATCTTCTCATCATTCAGTATTTACCTTCAATGCACCTCTTCCATGAATCTTTCTCTGGCCCACCTGTGGCTGTCTGGACTCATTTGTGCTTTCTTATGGAATGCTTCATCTTGAATTATAATCCTTTCTGTGCAGTATAAGGAAAGAGATCATCTTATTCTGCTATAATCACTGGCAATGTCTAATATATAATAGGCCACTGGAAGTATTTATTGAATAAATGCAAGAATCAGTGAATTAACAGGTATAACAACCACAAAAAATCACATTAGCACACATCCTAGGGCCGTGAAATATATCAGTGTAACTTAACTAGCTTATATGGGAATTTAAAAATGAGTGATACCAAAGATTCCTAAATTCTGGTCTATTATTTTTTATTGGACTTCATTCTGATAAAATATAATTTTTTTAAATAAAACTGATATTTTTCCTTCAAAGGATAATTTTTTATGATGAGATTATTTCCTTCCTGGCTCCCCCCCCCCCCGCCCCCCGTTAAAAAGTCCTTTCTCTTATGAAATAACAGGAGTTGTAAATGATGGTCGAATTTTGGTGAATCCTCATTTGATAAAAAATAAAGTTGATGACCTCATATTCACTTCTCTCCAATTCAGTCGTTCATTCAGGGAAACTTGGTTGCTTCATAAAATTCTAAAGTCTGCACACCAGTATTCTGATAACTGAACTAAGTGACTTTGTTCTGATTAGCTTCTGGGGGAAAAAACAAACAAACAAAAACAACAACAAAACCCAGCTCCTAATAGCATTCAGAAAAACAAAGCAAAAAAAAAAATTATGTGTACACGTATTTGCTGTGGAAACATGTTGGTATTTGAACAAGTCAATGGCATATATAGACTAAATTTTCCTTCTTTTTTAGTCTCTAAAAATACAAATTAAGTCTTCCTTTAAAATGTTAGTTAGGAATTAGGTTGAAACATTTGTGGAACTGCTTTCAAAATAGATTTGGATCCATGAGTGGTTCACAGGAAAGGGTCATTTTGCTCCTTTCATTGTGACCTTTGGATAGCTTGAAAAATATACTGCACTTTTTTTTTTATTGTAGAGGCACACACAATATCTTTATTAAATTATTTTTATGTAGTGCTGAGGATAGAACCAGCACCTCATAGGTGCTGGGCAAGCACTCTACCACGGAGCTACAGCCCCAGCCCCTATACTGCACTTTTTGGTGATATTTGATCTTTTTAATTAGGATCCCAGTTAAATTATGTAATTTCCAACTACAAACATGCAGTTTTGATTAACAGAAACAAAACAGAGGCTTCCTTCCCTGATTTCATTTTCTCACCTGTTCTCCATCTTCCTCCTCATTTTCTAGATCCAAGAAATGTATCTTTCTGTTTGGTTTCTTATGTTGTTCATTTAAAGGTTCTGAAGAAAACTGGAAGGGAAAAATTACAGCTTAACGTTGAGAATTTGAAAAGGAAAAAGCTTGTGGCATCCAAAATGATGTTCTTTGTGGAATTTAGAATTTATGCCATGTGAAAACTACATTCCTGGGCTGGGGATGTGGCTCAGTGGTAGAGCCCTTGCTTAGCATGTGCAAGGCTCTGGGTTCAATCCTCAGTACCTCATAAAAATAAAATAAAAAATATATTGTGTCCAACTACAACTAAACAATGAATATAAAAAAAAAAGAAAATAGGTTATTCAAAATGAAAGCTGAAATTGGAAAGAAGAGAAAAGCAACAAAAGGTGAAGGGGATTAAAAATGTGCTGAGATAGCCCTTCACACTTCCAAACTAAAGAGGCATCTTTAAAAATAGAAGAAATGCGTTAATGCTTTTCCTAATCCATTTTAAATCTGCTTAAGCTCGTTTTTCACTGCATTGTAAAATAGGTTTGCATATTAAAGTAAATGAGCACAATTCAGAATAGCAACAACCATTTTAAGATAAAATTAGGCAATTTTTATTTGTTTGCAAGTAAAATTAGAAATCTAAGAACTGTCTGGATGTATGTATAAAGCAAACCGTTATCTCCCCACGACATCTTGCGTGAACATCTTAATATTCACATAAAGGGACTGATCCAAAGAGGTTGTATTTCTGTACATCATTTAACTTTTTGTTTTGTTTGAAATGAGTTTCATTGTTTCCCTTCCATGAGCTGCCGAGCTGTTCTGATTAACTTGTTAGAATGAGGGTAGGAATGCCAGATGGCAGCAGAGATGTGGGGGTGGGCTGGACAGGAGCTGGTAGTAGCTACAGCTTGTCCCCAAATCTTGGCTATTAAGTATGTTATTTTTTTCATCAAAAAGAGAAAAAACAGTTTAAATAACTTGGGGAAATCCTACGTCAATATTAAACAAAAAAATTAGAACACCTTCTAGGTATGACCAAACATGTTTTTTAATATATAAAAGAATCACAATTTTTTTCTAATAATGAAAACAATCCAGATTCACTTATATAACTTAGAAAATATAGAAAAACAAATGGAATAAATAGTCAACAGTAGCTTCATCCTCCACAGAGATCCTTTACATATCTTTCTGTTTTGTACCAAATGGTGTCCTGTACATCCCATTTGTGATCTATTTCTTTCAAATAACAATATTAATATTCTTTGATATCAGTAAGTATTCACCTAAAACCTTAAATTAATGAATAATAGAATTTCGTTGTATGAATGAATCAATTTTTTTACTTTAACCAAGCCTCAGTTATAGTATATTTTTGTTATTCTGCTTTTGCTTTTATGAATAATGCTGGAAGGGATACCTTTTTAAATGTGTCTTTGCCCACCTCACTGATTATTCTTAGATGTGGATAAATTTGTAAGCATAACCTACTGAGTCATCTTTATGAGTTTTTAGATTTATATGCAATACTTCCCTCTGGATAGGTTGTATACATTTTTGTGTTTACAACAGCAATGTGTAAGAATAGATTTGTTGTTGTTGTTGTTGTTTTGGTACCAGAGATTGAACCCAGGGAGCTCGACCATTGAGCAATATCCCTAGCCCTTTTCATTTTTTATTTTGAGAGAGGGTTTCGCTAAATTGCCTAGGCCTTCACTGAGTTGCTGAGGCTGGCTTTGAACTTGTGATCCTCTTCCCTCCGCCTCCAGAGCCACGGGGATTACAGGTATGCACCCGGCAAGAAAATGTGTTTTTTTTTTTTTAATTTATATTTTAATTGCTGACTGGTAATGTTAAAGATGTATTCATAATTTTATTTGCTTTTTTCTTCTTCATATGAAACCAGTTTCTCATTTTTTCATTATTCACCTTTAGCAAGAAAGACATGTTATATATTAAATATATCAGCCCTTTGTCAAAGGCAGTCACTTCCCCTGGTTTTTCATTTCTCTTTTAGTGTTAGTTACAGCGATTTGGGTTGGACTTGTTTTTCTGTCGTCAGATCGGTTTGTGTTTTCTTTAACAGTTCCTGCCTTAGACATCAGCCTTAGAAAAGCCTTTTCTCCAGAGCAACCCCACCCCAAAGTGGATACATATATAGAGAGATATAGAGATAGAGATATTGTGGTGAAAGTTTTGTCTCTAGAATATCCAGGCTCCACCATTTTGATCTCAATAATAGTTTTATAGCCAGGCACAGTGACACACACTAGCAATCCCAGCTACTCCAAGGCTGAATCAGGAAGATCACAAGCTCAAGGACAGCCTGGGACATAAATGTCTCACTAGAACGAGATACTGTCTCACAATAAAATAAAAAGGGTTTGGGGTGTATCTCAGTGGTAGAGCACCTCTAGATTCAATCCCAGTGCCACAAAACAAAACAACCAAAAAAAAAAAAAAAAAAAACAGTTTTATTCTAGGTACTTACACAAGCATTTTAATCAGAATTATTCCAACAATGTTGATTGTGAAGAATGGTTTTCAGACTGAGTGCCATTAAGCTGATTGTTTAATCAATTTTCTCCACTCTGAAACTACTCCCATTTTTGCATTTTCTTTTGCTGTTTTTCTGAGAATATTTTTATTGATATTAGTTCTTTTCTGGGTGAATATATAAAAAAAAGATTTGATTTCTTTTGTACAATGTTTTTGTCCACATATCAGAGCTTCTGCTGCCACAAATTTTCTTTTGTGGCTATTATTTTTAACTAGTTTGACTAAGTAACACCGTTTTTATTTTATTTTATTTTATTTTGGTACTGGGGGTTGAACCCAGGGTTTTTCACATGTTTAGGCAAATACTATACCAACTGAATTTCATCCCCAATCATATTTCATTTCACTCCCTCCCCTTCATTTCATTTTGAGAGAGGGTCTGGCTAAATTGCCCAGACTGGTCTCAAATTCATGATTTTCCTGCTTCAGTCTGCAGGGTCTCTGGGATTACAGGTATATGCCCTGCATCCGGCTCTGCGTGACATTTTCACCTCTCTGCCTTTCTGCCTTATCCTTGTTCTCCTTCTCCCTCTCTCTCTTTCCTCTTCCCAATAAGATAATAATAAAAAGAGCTGCATTTAGGTTGCAGGTGTACCTTAGTGGTAGAGTACATGCCTATCATGTATGAGGTCTCGGATTTGATCTCCAGCTTAAAAAAAAAAATAGTGTCAATTATTCTGGATTTTTTTTTTTTTTGTAAAAAGAAAACTGTCTTCTAATTTGTTATAATTCATTATACATGATATCAGAATGCATTTCAACTCATTGTACACAAATGGAGCACAACTTCTCATTTCTCTGGCTGTACATGACACAGAGTATACCATACTTGCAATTATACATGTACATAGGTTAGTAATGTCCATCTCACTCCACCATCCTTCCCACCCCTATGCCCCCTCCCCTCTTCACTCCTCTCTGCCCAATCCAAAATTCCTCCATTTCTCTCGTCTTCCCATCCCCCGCCCCACCACTGTGGATCATTTGTCCTTTGTTTTGGAGGGAGATTGGCTTATTTCGATTAGCATGATATTCTCCAACTCCATTCATTTACCTGCAAATGACATATTTCATTATTTTGTAAATTGGTGCAACCACTCTGGAAATCAATATGGAAATTCCTTAGAAAACTTGGAATGAAACCACCATTTGATCCAGCTATCCCACTCCCCAGTTTATACCCAAAAGAAACAGTTTGATGATTACATATCTCCTTTCAAATTCACTTCCGTGATGCAGAGTTATTTGTGATAACTTAAATACTCCACCCCCTCTTCCCAACCCATCTGTGTTAATTTTTTGTTACTACAACAAAGTACTGGACTTAATCAACTTATAAAGAGAACTTACAAAGGTTTATCTTAATTCACAGTCTTAGAGGTTCCAGTTCATGAGTGATCGGCCTTGTTCCTTTGGGCCTGGGTGGAGCAGCATATTATGAAGGGAGTATGTGGTAGGGCAAAACCACTTACCTGATCACAAGATGGAAAGTAAAGAGTAGAGGAAGATGTGGAGGGTCCCACAATTCCCTTCAAGGGCATTCCCCCACCGATCTGAAGACCTTCTACAAAGCCTTTCTTTACTACCTCCTAACAGACCTCCTGGAGACCAAGTTCACACATGGGCCTTTAAGAACAGTCAACATCAAAACTCTCATACCTGCAGCAGGTTCTTGGCTCACTTTTGTACCCATTGTGGGTGAGCACCACCCAGATTCAATGATCTTTTCTAGAAATAGCAATTAAAGAGTCCTGCATTAGGGAATATTTAGAATCAACTATATTGTAAAGCAGTTACATGAAGAAATCAAATTATATATCTGATTTTTATTAACGAACAAAAAGAATGGACTCACAAACCCTAAATAAATTTTGCCAAGAAGAAAATTTGCTGACAGGTGGGATGAAGAGCTGAAAACCCAAAGGAAAAGCTACTTGTTACTGCTTTTCAAGAAGTTTGCACTGGTGTTGTGAAATCGATTGCAGAATTGTCCATTCTATTTTAAACTCAAAGAATGTTAAGAAAAGACAAATGATACGCTTATAATTTATAAATGATTAAAATTCAATTTGTTTATTTACACCTGTTATTCACATAAGTAACAATTGTCTTATGCTTTTTAAAATAGATATCTCAGCAATTATTCACTAGGATTCATCAAGTTACAGTATGTGCTGTATCTTGAGGTAATTTATTTCTGTCAATGAAATATTTTTCATCATTTTCAATTAAATATGTAATTGCAGAGAAGACATCATTTCTTGGAATAATTGTAGGTGATAAATCAATAAAACCTCAATGGTGGCACATACCTATAATTCCAGCAACTGAGGAAGCTAACGTAGGAAGATTGTAAGTTCAAGGGCAGCCTGAGGAACCTAGCAAGACCCTGTCTCAAAATAAAAAATAAAAAGGGCTGGGGATGCAGCTCAGTGAAAAAGTGCCCATGGGTTCGATACCCAGGATCAAAAAAAAAAAAAAAAAAGCAAAAAAATATTAAAGTATTATGTGCTATAATA